TTTGGTTCTGATTATCTGCCCTGCAAACAAGGTCTATTTAATGATTTCCAGTAAATGCTCTTTGTAGGACTGTACAGTAAGACAGTTATTTCCATTAATAACTTTTAATGGAAAGTTAATAACATGTCTATTAATCAATTAATAACCAATATTGAGGGTTCACAGGATGAACTGATTAATTGGTTGTAATGTTAATGTAGCTACATCAAGTTAATCTGATTAACTGATCCAAATATTCATAATTAATCTCTGCTGGCTCCCATCAGCTCCTCTGCTCCGCCTATGGTGGCTCCACCAACCTCTTCAGTTCCACCTCTTACGGCTCCCTTCAGCTCCTCTGTCCCACAAGCTACCAACTCCGCCTTGGCCCTCCAGACCTGGGGTGTCACCCAGTGTCTTCGGCCTCTCGACTCAGCACAGGGTTCCAGCTCTCACAGCTCCACAGTCTCCTTGGTTCCACCCGGACTCACTGCCGTTCTCCCTCCATCCGTTCTGCGACGGACTTTCCTCGTGGCTAGGATTTGGGTCGGTGCCATGGCTCCTCCCTCCATCAGTTCCGCTCCAAGTCTTCCTCTGTGTCCTTATCTTGGTTGCTCTGTGGCTCCTCCGTGGACACCTGCATCTCCTACAATTTACCTTTTTCTGTTTCCCCCACCCCCCTTCACCACTATTGTGTTATTAAAGTTATATGGATCTACCCTCTCCCTGCTCCATCTTCCTTCGCCCGCACCTATAGGACCTTGTGGAATTTAAGAAATTATTACAGCAATATTTTTCTGTAAAGCAAAAAAGTAATGTGGGTTGTGAAAAACACACAAATATCCCACTACCTTTGTTGCTCTTGATCCTGATATGCTTTATTATACCTTATCAAATTGCATTTATTAATTGAAAAGTTGCCATGTCCAATATGCTACAATGATGTGATCAAAAAGTCAATGTTGAGGAGAACAGTATTTGTAAAGGACATTGGTCGATTGCTTGGTTATATGCCTTAATTATGTTGTGAATTTGTTTCTAAATGAATGCTTACAGCCAAAGCAAATAATTTTAAAGGATGCTTAAATCAAATACATATCAGATGTGTCCAAAGTGTAACAGATTCATGATTAAAGGTCTGAAGCATCTTTAGTAAGTGTGCAGAAACAGAAAAGCAGCCTTCATGACATGTACTGTATGAAACTGATCAGCTGTGTACATCTGGCTCTCATATGCTTCTTACAGGATTCTCTTTGATGGGAGAGAAACTGCCTCACATGGACAGACAGGAAAGTTTTACAGAGACTATGAGTTAAGTCCAATTACAAACAAAGCCTAATTAATTATTTTTTAAATTGATGCCGAATAAGACTTTCCCGGTGAGAAATAGCAAGGCAGACCAGTGGTAAACTTTCAGTAACTCAAGATGGCATGTCATGGATACGTAGATATTCATTAGAAATAAATAACTTTTTTTTGTTCACACACCATCTACAGGTACATCACAGAGGTTTAGGACCAATTAAATGTGATGGTATAAGCAATTGTGACAATTAACCAATCAAGAAACCACACCTGCCAAATCTAGATAAAGATCAAAGAAATCAAAGAAAATTGAGAAATGAGTTTTGGTCATATTTGCACTGCTGCTGTACAATTAGTCACATGCCGCAAAGCTCTTTTGAAAACCAGCGTATGACATGGAGCTGTTTTTTTCCTGCACACTTTGACACTTTTACTAATATTTGCAGATTATGAACCCTTTGTGCTAATGTAAATGTACACAAACATAAAGACAACAGTAAAAGCAAATATTTCAGAAATAGTTTTCATTTTATTGTAGCCTACATATTGACAGATTCTGATTCAATGAAAAATGTTAAAGTTTCAAAATGTGAGAATTTTTTTGTTTGTTCATCGTTTTGGCCATTCGTTTACACAACAACAGCATTTTGGGGGCCTGAAAAGCAAACTTTTGAAAACGGGTTTCAAAGTACAAGTGTTTGAAAATGATATCGTTAGGCCTATGTGTAAAACTACAAAAATGGTAATTTTTGACAGTGACAGAATGCGCATGCGTATTACTGTACTTGTTCAGTCTATAGGCGCATATAGTGTTTCTTTACAAAGTGACATCACCAACTTCTGGCCTGGCAGCATAATACAGCGTTTTTATTCGTTTTTTACGGATCCGTGTGAACGGTAATCATTTTGACAATGCTGTCATCTGTATGCAAAACTTTTCAAAAACACAATGGAAAATCTTCTATTTTTAGTACATCGTTGTTATGTAAATGCACGTTTAGAGAGCAGTCACATTTACCATTGCTCGCAAGCGAAATCAAGTCATTTCAACAAGAACCCGCACGATCGGGAGTTTCACACGAGGGCGAAAAAGTTCCCCATAGAGATTTCGCTTGTGTTTAAGTTGTTCACACATATTCACCATGTTCACCAACAGAGAGTTGCTAGTTTTAAAGTGGCCTCTATGTGATCTGTGAACATGCATCGCTACACTATTAACAATAGACAACTATCTTTTTTGGCTTTTGTTTCGCATTTTCATTTTGCAATTAGTGTACAGGTCTTGACTGTGCATTACCACACCCCTCTGTGCTCCCTGTGGACAACATCCCTTTCCTCCCAATCCCATCATGTGTTTGTATCTGCTGCATAGGTAGATGTGCTGGTCGTGTAAGAGAAGAAGATAAAGGGATCATACGGGAAGAAAAACAGAGGTGTCATCCCCACTGACCTTGTTTCTGAATATCTGACTAGATGGTGTTAAATGTGTAGTACAGGAGATTGAATAGCAGATGCATCTGTGACAGGTTATTTATTCATGAAGTGAATTTATGCAGATGCTGTTAAAACAGTGATGAAAAGTAGCTGTGGAGAAAGCAATTATGTGCTGTTCTGATTACCAGGCACTCTTGGCTGAAAGACATTTAGAGGAAGGACAAAGTCTGTGTTAAGTAAGCCACTATTTGCTTTGCATGATTGGCAAGTCTTACAAATAAATCGATGCCGCTCAGTGAATGCACTTACTTGAAGGCAAAGTATTTTGACATTATTTCAGTGTGTATCTGTTTCATGAGTTTAGAAACCCATTATCAAAGTTGACACAACACACCAAACCCTTACCTTTTGATATGACAAAGCTCCTTTTTTATTTTCTCTGTGTGGAATAAACATGGATATAATTTCCATTTGATCAGACATCTCATCAAAATTCTGGCTAGCCACAAGAGAGACTGGTTGCTATGAGAAGCAGCTAATGAATTGTTAGTTTGAAGTGATAGTTCACCCAAAATGAATATTTTGATAATTTATTTGATTGTATGTTGTCAGTGAAATACAAAAGCAGCATTTTTTAAGAATGTAAATGGTGTGTAAGCACAATAACAGTAGTGCATTCCCAACTAACAAAAATATATTTTTTGTTATACTGTATGATCATTAAGGAAACTTTCCATTTTATGATTTTGCAAACAGCTCAAACATGCATTTTAGTCTGGGACTATACCCCATAGTCAAGATGGACAGTCTCTTGCGTATATCTTTCAGCTTTCGTATAATGGCAATGAAAATTGTATTTGTATAGCACCATTAAATACAACCCAGTAATAAAATAATAATAAAATATGATGCAAGAGTGCTTCAACATTGTATGCCTTATCAAACAAATAAGTTTTTAACTTGGATTTATCTGAAAAAAATGGGCATATGCAATGTGCAATATTTGCATATTGATTGACACCACAATCACAGGCACTTCTTAATTAGTAATTAAGGACTATGATTAAGCTGGAAAATCTCATCTCATCACGACACGCAGCTGCTGAAAAACTGTCCAAGAATCACTGCTTATACATTTCATAGGTTGAGATTGGGATACCAAGTTAACAGAGTGGCAGTGCTTTATCTAGGTGGCATGCAGTGGCTCCCTGCATCACGGTAGATCAGCCCCTTAAGGTGAGTAAAGCGTGATGTATAAGCAGATGGTTTTGTCTATAAATTAAAACTTTTTCTTGAAATGCGGGTGGAGTCCTTCATGGTTTCAGCTTTGTTAGAAGCATTGTTATTGAATTAATTGAACAAAACAGTCCATTTCGATGTGTTAATGATGATCTTTAAGATTTTAATAAGGTGACAAAAACACTGGATGAGGGTCTCCATTTTGTACGACTGCCTCAACTTTAATAAAAATATTCTGGTGAGAGCTGAAATTTACCTTCATTTTTCTTTGTTTTCTAACACATCACGTTTCATTTTATCTTAACTGTTTCTTTTTTAAACATATAGGCCTACTTCAACTTTTAACAAAACTTGTGGTAAGTGATAACAGTGGTGTGGTGGTGGTGTTGCAATATGGAGATAGAAAAATATATAAATAATTCTTACAGTATTATTGAAATGGTTTATGATTTCCTTGCATTGTTTAGATCATAATTTAAAAATTAATCATGTTTTTTATTTATTTATATTTTTATATTTTAAAGAATAAAATCTACACCTAAAGGCATTTTAGCTAATATTAATGATCTTTCACACTATGGGACCTTAATTTAATAATAATAGGCCTAATCAAAAAAAAAAAAAAATTGTTTTATTAAGGGGAACATAGGCTATGAAGGGAATTAAAATCTCAGCCGTAAAGTAGCCTAATGCTCAGCATTCAAAATGAAACCGACAGCGATGGAATGGCCTATTTTCATATTGATTTACGATTGGTCTTTATTTTTTACTAGTCTATTTACATAATGATTTGCGAATGCGATTGCTTTTCCTTTGTTCCATTTATTTTCATACTAATTTGTGATTGTTTTTATTTATTTGTCTTTCACACTGGATGCAGAAGCTGTCTTTTTTCCTCCAACTTTTCTAACTATCATTTGACATAAAATGTCATTCTCCATTGCTTTGCTTCCTCGATAGTCGTTGTCTTGCGATTCCAATAATTAATTTGCATGTAATATGGGCTAATATAAAACGGTAGGCTACTCTTCGACGCAAAGCTCTTGCAGTTTGAGTCGGTCACTCGCAGAGGAGTGTGTGCATTTGAGTGTGTGCTCTTTATCTGGATCTGCTCCACGGCTTTCCACGGGCCACGTCACGTCACGGAGGGGGAAGAAACAGATTCCTGAGCTCTGCTCGAGTTTCCTGCGATCACATCCTCAGATCCACATCTACAGCGGACCAGACGCCGCGCTTTCCCCACTACAACACACTAAACCGGCTTTTCTTACAAAAATGGTGAGAAACCTGAACACTATTTACTAGCCTACCCTTTACACCGTTTAAATAACTTGTGTTGTATTGCTTTGAACGCTTTCTCTGTTTGTAATGTATTTGCCTCCCTTCTCACTCTCTCCGCCCGTTACAGATGTTTCGATGTTTCCCCGTGCTTTTCCTCCTGGCTGTGGTGTGCTGTCATGCCGAGGTAAGTTATATGAATACCGCATTCATTAGCTCGTCTTTTAAAGAAAAAAAATGTTTATGGGGAAACCGGATTACAATGTCTCTGAAATCCAACTTGCACCAAATGAACTGTCGAAAAAAGCTACCAGTCCGGTCAACATTAACTTAGAACAAAACAAGGCTGTGGGCTAATGATTATGGTGTTAAAGCTGAACTCAGTCATTTTTTTTTGCTAATTGAAAAAGTTTTACACATAATAGACAACATGTTTAATAATGTTTACTTACACTCCAGACATCAGTCCTCTAGAATTTTTTTTTTTTTTTTTTTTTTTTTTTTTTTTCTGCATGGAGCGGGTCGCTACCTCATGGGCGGCGTCATGTTGACATCACCAGTTGTGCATTTGACTAATAATAATACTGCTACCACCAGTACTGGGAATATAACTTACAAATTAACTTGTATTTGTATAACTTACTATTGTTGGTTACTGATTCCAAACTGCAAGACAAAAAGTTTTGTTAGGGTAAACAATTACATTGGACATTTAGGTAATCAGATTACTTTTTGATTAGGCCTACTTTTAGATTACGTTTGATACATTTCTCTGAATAGGATAATCTTGTACCATATTGATATAAAATGCAAAGTGCATTTGCAACCAATTACCAATGAATTATGAATAATTTACTGCCCTTGTGAGAATAACATGTAATCAATAAAAAAGTAATTGTTGTCTGATTACGAGTGTTTTAAAATGTAATGTAATATAAATTAATTACAAGTGTTTCATTTTTAGAAAACTAAATACATAACCCAGATTACATGCAATCAGTTACCCAGCACTGACAAGAAATGTTTATTATTTTATATATAGTTTTGTTGTGAAGTGGCAGCAGTTGGTAAACAAACAGCATGCATGAATGCAAAAAAAAAATATTTGTGTTCTTTATGGATCAAAATTGACCCATAAGAACCAGTTCCTTTCACCATGTCTCACGGCTTTTATTTATTTATTTTATTATGATTTCTTTGTTAAATATATGAATCAAATTTAACCTAAAAATACATTACATTTGAACAGATTTAGCATGCACATGCTATTTAAAATGTATACCATTGAGTGACTAAATAAATAATATGTAAAGTGCATATATTAAGAAGTTGTTTATAAAGAATGTTGGACCAGCTGAGATGTCAAGATGCATCTGTCACAAAACACACATTTACATCACCTGGTTTGTGTTTGTGTGGTTAATGAACTCTGTGTGTGGTGAGAGTGTGCGTGGTGGTCTTTACTTTGGGAATTGAGCTGTAAACAGACAGCTGTTAAAACCAATCAGATAATAACATGTTAGGTGGTGTTTGGCCAGTGAGTTTACACTGATTTCAGTGCTCAGATGCAGCTGCTGATGGGGGCCATATGTTGTCTTTGTTAGTGTTGTGTTAATTGTGTTCGTAGGCTCTGTAGTGCAATAACAACCTGCCAGGTGAGCCGCATTTAAGCCACACAACAACAGGAACCCAACACATGCAAATGCAAACATTCTCAGTGTTTCCCCTAGGATTTTTTTTTCGGGGGGGACTGCTAGTGTTGCAGAGCGGGCGTGTTACGGATACGTGGTGTAAATTTTTTAGCAATCAAAAAGCATGTCTAATTAATTGAAATAGTGTATTATGAATCATTAAACGTAGCTATACAACATTTAAAAAAAAATATGGAAAAAAAATTCACACTAATTCTGTGTTGTGTTTTTTCTGGTAATAAAATGAAGACATAAAACACAAATTTTATCATTTATCAATCATCAATTTTAATCATATGAAATTAAATAAACTTTTTGTCAAATAACGTGCTGCACAATGAGCTTTACTGTTAAAATTAAAACATGGATAATTCCTTAAATTCAGTTTTGATGATAATTTATTTGGATTAGTGTTAGTATTATTACATTGGGACATATCTAAATTCTACTGTACAACAGTAATATATTTCTGTCAAGTTAAACCGAACTTTTATTTTGACGGGTTGCCGTGAAGACCTTTTGAGTTTCTGTGTTTGTCATAATGATAGTTTTTCTCAAATGAAGCGGTTAAATGATCACGAAGTGACTTTCGGAGTGGATCTAGAGCCTGGAGAGGAAGTTTATGCATTTGTGTCTTCATATAGGCCAAAAAACAGCGCAAGCGTCACATGTGCTTCAGTGTGTGTGTGTGTGTGTGTGGTAAATGAAACTGCGCGTCGGCTGCACCATTCATTCACACAGAACAAGCAGGATTCGTATTTAAATTGTCTTTGTGGTTTAATACCCACACACACTCTACATCGCGATTTGATTTCAAGTGTATACTGAACTGCTTTCTATTTATTCCTCAAAAGATTGACAAATTCCATGAAATTCCGCGTTATACAGTAAATTTCTTTTTTTATGACTGGATTTCGTCAGCAATTTAAGGGGGGCGGGGGGTCGTTTTGGGGGGGCGGGCCGCCCCCCCAAAACAATGGTAGGGGAAACACTGTTTCTTGCCCTATATTTTAATTTATATGCACTGTGAAAATTACCTAAGAATGATTTTTTTCTTGAAATCCAAGATTATGCCTTCATTTATATTTTACTTCTTGTTTATGGAAACAAACAACACATTTTGGTCAAAGTTGTCCCCTGTGTCAATGACACATGCATCAAGAATGTACTTCCTGTGTAATACATCTGCCATTTCTCAAACAAGCACATATACGTATATACAGTGTGCTGAAAACAAAGTGGTTTTATTTTTAAAAATGTATTGAATGTTCCCAAGCATTATTTTTTAATTTGAATTGAGATTACATTTGTAGTTAGAGCATGCTTTTGTATGCCAGAATGACGTGTAAGTAATTTCATGCTGACAAGCTTGATAAGACAACCCTTAAGCTAAAAGAACAGCAGCTCATAATGGGTGTCATGCAACCCGCATGATTCTTCCCTCCGCTATTCACGCAGCTCATGCTGTGGTTTGTCTCTTTCTTGTATCTCACTCAGTGGGGGCTTTGGATCTGTCAGAGCTTGTGTTCCCTAAAGGCATGATGTGCTGCTTACATAGACAAGCTCTTAAATAGTGTCACCCCAAATTAAAACACACTGAATTTCCTACTCCTCCTACTACAAATACAGTTTGTGCTGGGATGATTTTGTAGTTGGTTGATAGAGCTTTCACATTGTAAGTGTAAGTGAATGGATTTGTGTGTGTGTGTGCGCGTTTATACAGTATTGGAGTCCAAGACAAAGAAAGTGTATCTTCTCCCATTGTTTGTGATTATGTGTTTTCATATAGACTGATCACAATTCAGACAATTTTTCATTGATCTTGAATCTTCCCTATTAATTCCAATGACTCCACATGGCTTTATAAAGAAGAGAAAAAACCCAGCTCCAATATAAATCTAACATTTAAGCAAAAAAAAAAGTATATAAAAATTTGAATAAAAATGAAAGACTGTGTAGACAAATTATTTAATATTCAGAATTAATTTCTTATCCCATAAAATATTGTGAATGATGTAATTTAATCAAAAACGTTTTTTTTTTTTTTTTTATTGATTTTAAGCAAATACAAAAATAGTTTGAGAGTGTAGAATGATGTCATTCGCAATTTCGCGAGTTAATTTGTAAAGTATTGGATGGTAGCAGCAGCTTCTCTGATTGGTGATTGGTGAATTTCTGTCCAGGATTATGGGTAGTGTAGTTGTTTACCAGTTTTTTTTTTTTTTTTTTTCATCAAATAACTTAAACTTGTGGCATCCACAGAAGTTTATATCACTGCGTAACAATCTTTTGTGGCAGGTCCTAATTAAAAGGTTTGCACATTATTACCAAACAATTGTCTTTATGGAGAAATATGTATGGGTTTTTATGTTCACATCACTACTGTTGCACTCTATTGGAGGTTTTATAATTGGCAGTCAGCAAGAAAAATTGAATCATTAAAGGGATAATTCACCCAAAAAATGAAAATTCTGCCATTTACTCACACTCATACTGTACCATTTCAAGTCTGCATGACTTTGATTCTTCAGTGGAAAACAAAAAAAGTGCAAAACAAAACAATGAAGAATGTTGGTCACAAAGCAGTTTTGGTTTCCATTGACTTTGATTGTACAAAATAAAACACCTGAAAGTCATACAGTTTTAGAATGACATGAATGTGCATAAATGATGACAGAATTTTTTTTGGGGGGGGGGGGGTGAACTATACATGCCAATCAACCTTTAAAAAAAGAAAAGAAAAGAACCCCAAAAGAAGTATCTGTCAGTTTTATCCCCAGTCTCTCTCTGATTCTCTGTCGTTTATAGGATTCATTAGTGAACAAAGAAAATTTTGTAGAAGAAAACACTGTTCTTCAGAATATGATAAGAATTATCACACACATGCACAACCCAAACACATTAGCACAAAATGTGGAAAAGAATGAATTTCAGCTCTTCTCAAGGCACTGTTTTCTCTACACGGCTAAATGTAGCAGAGGCAGGATAATGCAGTTACCTAAATCCCTTCCTATAATCAAAAACTGAGCTCTAAGAGTTTTGAGTTGCTTTCTACGTGCGTTTCCCTGCTGTCTTACAGCAGGTGAATCGACTGCGCTTTAAGCCCTGATAAAAATAGAAGTTACCGAGGGAGAAAGAAAATGAGGGAGAAAGAGAGAGTGAGGTAGGAGAAAAGAGAGGTGTAGAGAAAGAAGGCACTGTCAGGGTCACAGTGCCCTGTCTGCTGATCTTAACTGAGAGTAATCATCCTCTGTGATTTCAACTACGGAAATTATTGTTTTGATCTTTCCCAATGCAATGCTTTTGTTACTCAAATGTATGCACTATTGCTATAATTTTGTTCCTGACGCATGTTAGTGGCTGTGCCAGAAAAGCCAGCTGCCTCGCTGCCCAGTCAGTCAGTGACTTAGTGTTTTTGTATGAAACCCCCTCATATGGAAACTGGTTTCAGACAGGCTTCCAAGGTACCATAGCGTCATGTCTAATGATCTGGAAC